AACAGGGGGCACTGAGTGCCTGCAGGAACAGCGTTCCTGCTCAAAAAAAGTGCAACGCTGTTCCTGCAGGACTCAAACCATAGGCGTGCCACGGGATTAAGGTGTGCCCAGGCACACCCGGCACACCCCGTGCGCACGCCTATGGACCTACTTGCATGGGTTCTTCTGTTGAGGGTACGGGAACCATGGCTGAAGAAGTAGGAGAGTAGTTTGAAGAGATGTTTTTTTGAAGCTGGAGCATAAATTTGCTGCCATTTCTTGTCTTCACTCTCTGAGATGTTGGTCTAACTGAATAGCCTGTTGTATGAAGACTTCCAAAGTGTCTGGTATACCAAAATGAGCAAAGTCATCTTTTAATGATTCAGTCAAACCTAGGAAAAAATTATTAATTAGTCCAACATCTTTCAAACGTGTGTCTGTGGCATATTGGTTGAATTCTGTTATGTAGACCTCGACAGGGTTGCGGCCTTAACGCGAGTTACCAATTGAGGATAAGACAGTCTCGTAGTCATAAGCCAAAGTCGAGGGCAGGCAGCGCAGATTAAGGAACGGTATAACAGGCAGATAGGTCTAGGGCTGGATAAGACAGAATTCACAGAAGAGTATATACCGAAGAGCACAGTGTAACTGAGCACTGAGGTTAGCTGGGTTTATATAGGGGAGAGGTATCCACCTCTCACATATCATTGGGTAAAAAGGGATGAGCCCTTTAAGATGTTTCAGGTGTTCTGTCCCTTTAAGAGGCTGGCTGTCAGTGGTGTGTGCGCCTAGAGCAGTGATGGCGAACCTTTTTGAGCCCGAGTGCCCAAACCGTAATACATGCCAATTTTTTTCCCCTCAAAGTGCCAAAACGGCAATTAAACCTGAATACTGAGGTTTAAGTTTAGAAAAAACAACTCATACAGTTGTCCGAACTAATTAACATCTCTGTGTGTGTATTAAGCAGTTTGTGTGTGTGCTCAGCAGTCTGTCTGTGTGTATTTAGCAGTCTGTCTGTGTGTATTTAGCAGTCTGTCTGTATTTAGCAGACTGCTGAATACACACACAGACTGCTGAGTACACAGTCTGCTGAATACACACACAGACTGCTAAATACACACACACACAGACTGCCGAGTACACACACACACACACACAGTGTATGTGTTTGTGTGGGGTGATGTGTGTGTGGGGTGGTGTGTGGGTGGGTTGATGTGTGTGTGTGTGTTTGTGTGGGGTGATGTGTGTGTGTCTTTGTGTGGGGTGATATGTGTAGGGCAGGGGTGCTGTGTGTATGTCGTCCCCCTTCTCCCCCCACACTGTTTTCTTTCCCCCCATCCCTCCCTCATTTTTTTCTCCCATCCCTCCCTCATTTTTTTTCTCCCATCCCTCCCTCATTTTTTTTCTCCCATCCCACACTCAGTTCCCCCCCATATCTCTCCCTCAGTTCCCCCCCATATCTCTCCCTCAGTTCCCACCCCATATCTCTCCCTCAGTTCCCCCCATCTCTCCCTCAGTTCCCCCCATCTCTCCCTCAGTTTCCCCCCATCTCATACTCATACAGTTGTCCGAACTAATTAACATCTCTGTGTGTGTATTAAGCAGTTTGTGTGTGTGCTCGGCAGTCTGTCTGTATGTGTATTTAGCAGTCTGTCTGTGTACTTAGCAGTCTGTCTGTATTTAGCAGACTGCTGAATACACACACAGACCGCTGAGTACACAGTCTGCTAAATACACACACACACACACACACACACAGACTGCTAAATACACACACACACACACAGACTGCCGAGTACACACACACACAGACAGACTGCTGAGTGTACACACACAGACTGCTAAATACACACACTGCATTGAAGGGTACAGTGTATGTGTGTGGGGTGATGTGTGTGTGTGTGGGTGGGGTGATGTGTGTGGGGTGGTGTTTGTGTGTGTGGGGTGATGTGGGGTGGTGTGTGTGTGGGGGGGATGTGGGGAGGTGCTGTGTGTATGTCGTCCCCTCTCTACCCCCCCCCCCACTGTTTTCTTTCCCCCATCCCTCCCTCATTTTTTTTCTCCCATCCCACATTCAGTTTTCTCCCCCCATACCTCCCTCAGTTTCCCTTCATCTCTCCCTCAGTTTCCCCCTCCATCTCTCCCTCAGTTCCCCCTCATCTCTCCCTCAGTTTCCCCCCTCCATCTCTCCCTCAGTTTCCCCTCATCTCTCCCTCAGGTTCCCCCCCATCTCTCCCTCAGTTTCCCCCTCCCCATCTCCCTCCGGGTTCCCCTTCCCCCCCTCTCTCCCTCAGGTGTCCCCCCCCCCTTGAGCGCCTACCTTGTAGCGTGGCCGAGCGCCACGGAGCTCAGTCTCCTGTACCCGGCGGACAGGAAGTGCTCTCTCTGTGAGCACTTCATTTCCGTCCGCCCGGGTACAGGAAACATAAGTTCGGGGGGCGTGTCTTGGCCACCATCTTAGATGGCCACGTTATAGAGAGGCTCCTGGACAAGGGGGACAATTTTGTTCCTAAAGCGACAATTTGAATTTGAATGTACCAATTTTAATTGAAGATACAAGAAGCAATCTCAGCACTGATCATGCAGAGGCAAAAGAAAACAGAAAAATCCGTTCCTGGGACGAAGAAAATGGAAGCAGGAGCGGCTGGGGTGAGTAAGGGTTCCCAGGCTCGCTCCCCTGCTTCCAGATCCGGCTCGCGGCTTGTTTCGCCGCTTAAACTATCGTTGGTGGCGTCGGGGAAATCCCTCCCTACCTCCCTCCCGGTCTCCCGCCCGGTCTCCCTCCCCAAAACTTATGCCTGTGCGGCCGCGACCCGTCCGCAGCTTCCTGAGGGCGGCGGGACCGCGACCGCACTAGCCGGCACTCCTGTGTGCGGCTCAGAGTGCTCCGAGCACTCGGCATGCTCGGAGCACAGCGCTGTGTCTCCCGCGAGCGGCAAGGACCTCCCAGCAAGCCGCTCGCGGTCTCACTCCAGAGCAGCCCGGTCGCTCACTTACAAAAGCGACCGGGTTGCAAGTAAAGGGGAGGGCAGTGCGAGGTCACGCTCCCCGTCGGGATCCTCAGCCTCCAGGCTGTCGGTCCCGGCGGGGGGGGCCTCTGCTGTCCGACCCAAAGTATTTAAAGGGGCAGCAAGGGCTATAATAAGCCCAGATGATAATCCTATGGAAATAGGGGCTGAAGTGCTCCAAAAAAGTGCTTTCTCTGCACTACCACAGAGAACACGTTATGATGCCACAACAAAGATGGCTGACAGTCCAGATACTGTATATTCCACTTCCAAGATGGCCGCTGCCACCTCCAATATGGCTACTACCACATTTAAAGCTGCGACCTATAATCCTAATATGCCACCTGAATTGGCAGCAGACCTGCCACCGTCAGCTGGCATGATAATTCAACTTATTAAAAATTTAAGAGTTGATTTGAAAAATGACTTTAAAAATGACTTTGACACATTATATGGAGCCATGGAGGGCATTAATCAGCGTACGGAAATAATAGAGAATAAATTGCACTCTCAAGAGCAATCTCATTTGGATCTGGTTGAAACCGTAAAAGAGCTCCAAAAGCAAGTGCACCAACAAGCAGAAAAGCTTGCCGACGCTGAAGATAGAAGTAGGCGTAATAACCTAAGGATCAGGGGGATCCCAGACAATATCGACTCCCAGGAATTACAAAGCTATTTCCAGACAATGGTGAAGTCAGCTCTACCAAACGTTAAAAATACGGATTTATTACTGGATCGCATCCATAGATTGCCCAAACCCGGCAATGCTCCTCCAGCTGCACCCAAAGACGTGATAGTGAGATTCCACTACTATCACATTAAAGAAGAATTTCTAGGTGCAGTACGCACGTCAGGTCTCACAGGAGATTACAGCAGCATGAAGGTCTTTCAAGACTTTTCTGCTCAAACAATGAAGCGACGCAGGGAATTTCAACTTTTTACTGCGGAGTTAAGACGAAGAGGGATAAGATATAGATGGGGATTCCCGGTTAAAGTCCTTTTCCGTATGGATGGTCGGAATTTTATAGTCACGTCGCCTGAAGAAGGAATGGAACTCATCAATACTATGAATGGACGTCAGGTTTCGCCTCATAGACTCTCACCATCTACTCCTGTTCAGGCCAGCAAGAGAAGCAAATCGGACACTTCCTGAGATCCCAGCTCAAAGAGACATAGTCTTCCTTTTCTATGGTCATCATCGAGTCCTG